AGAGACAGGCCGAGGACGGATCAGAGACAGGCCGAGGACAGATCAGAGACAGGCCGAGGACAGGAATGTCCAGCAGTGAGCTGCATGTTGGACCAGGTATTGATCATGGTTCAGTTTTTGGGGGTCCACCTGTCCAGCCATAACTTGAGGACTTCAGGTCTGTGTTGTGAACGTGTCCCCGGGGCTCAGTGGGACTACCTGTCTAAATGGAGGCTGAGTGACAGGTGAGCGCACGGCGGCTCTCAGGTCACGTTTTATCGCAGCGAACACTTTGATGCTCGTTTTGTTTTCCAGCAGTTTGACTGAAGCGTCAGATTCAAAGTGAAGCAGCAAAACAACGAGAGCAGAGCAGTTCCACGTGCTCGTGAATTATTGATCAGTTATTTATTTCATTTAGTTTTAGTTGTACAGGTCGTCTCACCCTGTTTCAGACAAACATGTAGAGGACAATAAACAACAAAACAATGAAATCAATAGAGTTCTAAGATTTAAAACAAGCTTTTATAAATTCAGGTCCTGGAGCTGAGAAGACAAACACCTGAGGACAGGTAAGACTCAGCAGCTGGACCCACTTCTTTCTGGGTCACCACTGTCCATTCAGTCAACCTTTATTTCTGCAGGTGAGTCTCATTGAGCCTCGAGGACACTTTTACAAGAGACACCCGATTAAACAGAGACTGAGGACAACAGTGGACAATCTTAAAATAAACTGAGAAGAATAGATGAAAGAAAATTGTAATAAACAAAAAAATATCCAGAAGTCACTGTGCGAGAGACAGGGGACACCTGGACAGGTCTCCAGTCCATCACAGGGACACCTGGACAGGTCTCCAGTCCATCACAGGAACACCTGGACAGGTCTCCGGTCCATCACAGGGACACCCTGGGGACAATTTAGAGTTACAAATCAGCCTAAACAATGTTTTTAGTCTGTGGGAGAGAACCCACGCAGCACTGAGGAACATGCAAACTCCATCCAGAAAGGTCTCCGGCCAGGATTTGAACCCGCAACCTTTTCACTGCGAGGCAACAGATCTATCAACTGAGTCATCATGCCGCCCTCACCTCTGAGCCACCGTGCCTAACCTCTGAGCCACCGTGCCACCTTCATCACTGATCCACCGTGCCGCCCTCACCTCTGAACCACCGTGCCGCCCTCACCTCTGATCCACCGTGCCACCTTCATCACTGATCCACCATGCCGCCCTCACCTCTGATCCACCGTGCCACC